TCAGAAAGCTTTTGAGTTCAGTTTGGAAAGTAACTGATTCTTTATCCAGAGCCAAAACCCTGTTGTAAAAAAAATATGAAGTAATGAGATTTATTAATTTTATTCATTAATAAAAGAGCTGATATCTAGAAATAATTGTTAAGCTTCCCACAGAAACAGATAATGGCCTTGGCAGTGTCCCAGTGCTGTTTGTGACACTTCATTAACCAGGGTGCTGCAGTCCTGGAGACCTGCATTTTGTCTTTGGACCTGAGGTGCCAGGGATGTGTCAGAGCTGGTGTTGAACTCAGCACTGAACTCACACAGCTGACTGGAGCAGGTTGTACCCAGCTCCATTTTCCAACAGAGCACTGATAACTGCCTCAAAGAGGTTTCCCTGGATGGTGTAAGGGTTATAAAATTCAGCTTTCAGGCCAGTTATCTTCCTTATAAAGTGAAGAACACCTCTATGAAGAACAAACTCAAGAACAGGAGCCAGGGCTCTAATCTGCCTCTCATGGAAAGAACTGAAACCCCTGGAGTTACCCCGAGGAAGGTGCAGCCCCCCAACCATGAGCATTAACATCTCATCCACACTCATTAACACAAATTCCAAAGTCAACCTTCCACACATTGCACACCTTGCCTGGAAGAAGGAAATCACAACAGCTCCACACTCCAGGCCAGAAGTGTGTGTTTTGAATTTATCAAGACCAGGAACACTTCAATAGTGCTTTTCCACAAGCACATTCCCAGCTGGCATCACAGGCTGATCCCCAGGAGCAGCACTGCCAAACACTCCAGGCCTGAAAGGGGGAAAGGAGAGAAAAATCATCTTTACCTATTTCACATGTGTCTTCTGAGGCACTGGCCTGAAGGGCTGCACTGAGAACAGGAACACAGCAAATATGGAAGAAATCCAGGTATGAAAATATTTTTAAATCCTAAAAGAAAAAAATCACTTAATTCAACACTGGCATTCACATACACCTTTTAAATAACAGGAGGAGTAACAGAAGAAACAACCTCCAAAGAATGCAGGCTTTTGTGTTTTCTTACTTCAGCTGTGGCCAGCACATTCCCTGGATTGAGCAGGGTACCTCCAGTAACTGATCAGCTCCTCCAAATTCAAGATCAGGATGGCAGCATCAGCTCAATGGTGAGAGAGGCATCCTGCAAAAAAAAACCCAAGGAAAACACGAAATCGTTAGTTACAAGGGTACTAATTCTTTAAGTTTCTATAATTTTTTAAATAATGTAAATGAAGTAGAAAATGGAAATTGTATTTGGCTGGTTTGTTTCCTGGCTGCCCTAAGTCTGTTTTATTCAACAAACCCCAAACCACTTTTTCTCACGTGGTCACTCTGCTGGGCCTCTGGCATTCCAAGTTCTTGGAGCATGAATGGACTGAAGTCTTCTAGATGTGACAATATAACTGTGGCAGCAGATCTAACCTGCAGATGATCAATTTTTAATTAATGAGAGATTTGTTTTTTGAAGTCAAGTTTAGTGTTTAATATCAAGTAAAGCAAAGCTGAAAGAAATGGAGTTAAGTTTTTGGGGATGTTTAATAACCAAGTTTCTATAAGAAACACAGTAATAAGGTTACAGAAAAACAGCAGAAACCAGCAACATCTTTTCCCCCTTTGGAAAGGACACAAGACTTTCTGTGGGTTTAACAGCCCTAATTTAGGTAGGAAATATTCACCTGTACTTGCCAGAATACCTGAGCCACTGATCTGTACCTGTTACCCACAATTTACTTATTTTGTACCAAAGGACCAACTGGACACGTGACTGTACAAAACTTTCTGTCTCGTTTACATGCAACAGGAATGAAGAACTTCCTTATGGATGTGATTTTCTGTGAGAAAAGAACAATTTCTCAGCCTAACAGTGACACAACAGCACAGCTTTGGACAGGACTAGTCCTGGAACAGAATAATAGGATTAGGGCTGATCTAATCACTGAACATCTACGGGACTTTAAAATGTTTTCCTTGCAGTCCATGAGCCCTGGTCGGTTCACAGGTTGTTACTCCAGCACAGAAACTCCCTGGAATTTCATGTTTCTGAGGAACAGCACCACTGAAAGCAGGAGTGCAATGCTCAGGCAGCAACAGCTGCTTCAACCAGAAGAGTGAAAGAAATTCCCTTTTCCCACTGCTGATTAGGACACATTAATCTGCTAACGAC